CCGTTTTCATATGGCAACAACATAGAACTGTCAGTTTGACACTACATTAGACAATTCAAGAATATTGAATTTTGTTGTTTTTGCGAATTTGAACTTGTGTTTTTGGTTAAAAATTATGTCGAAGCCGATAAAAAGTTCATCGAGGAAACTTCTTTCCATCATGATTGACAAGTTTACTGAAGTGAAAACTGAATTAAATAAAAATTTCATGGAGAAATTACAACGATTAGATAAAGTTGTATCTTTTTTAGGTTAGTTTTGTATTATAATTTTGATACTTTCGTTTTAATTTTCTGTAATTAACTAAACAGATATTTTTTATAAAATATTGCTCTATTTCAGATAACTGTGATGGTGATATTCAACCAATAATGGAGGAGATAAATGCAATAAAAACTTTAGAAAAACAAGAAATGCTGAATTCGGAAACGCAGTACTTACAAAAAATTTCTTCAATGACAGGTCTCTTTTCTTGTTTTGATTTAAGATAGATTGATAGTATTCCTATAATATTTACATAGGTTTTTTATGATGTATTGGTTTTTATTGTTGACATCCAATGATGTCATAAGAATGTTTTGTTTAACAAGGAAATTCACAGAATTCATGAAACTAATCAAACCATGTAATTGTTATACATGCTAAATATGCACATAAACTTAACTAAATTAAACATAAATTGCATTCATAGTTGAATAGGTATTTAAATTATTTTGATGTATGTGTCTATCATTATTTGCTTTTAAATACATTTAACATATCTTTGTTTCAAAGTGTTTAATCTTTTATAGATGTAAGTATAAGGACACTAAGAAGGATAAAAAATGAAGCATTAATTAATAAAGGAAAATGGGACACTCCTGGGAAAAAACGACCTCATCAACCAACAGTGTCTGCTTTAGATAATTTTGATTTAAGTGCAATTCGGAATAAAGTAAATGAATTTTACTGTGTGAAAAAAATTGTTCCAACATTAAGAAGCCTTCACAATGAATTAAAAGATGCAATAGGATTCAGTGGTAGCCGTGAGACTTTACGAAAAATTATGCTTAAGAATGGATTTTCTTTTAAAAGCAATGAAAATGAACGTTCTATGCTTATAGAAAAATACCAGATTTCTGCATGGAGGCACAAGTATTTGAGAGAAATAAATATAAAACGAAACGAAGGAAAGCAAATTGTGTACCTTGATGAAACTTATGTACATCAGAATTATAAAGTTAAAAAGTCTTGGCAAGGACCTTCAACAACTGGTGTCACTACAAAGATATCCTCTGGAAAACGGCATATTGTTGTGCATGCTGGATCTGAGGAAGGTTTTGTGCCTGGTGCATTATTAGTGTTCAGTAGTAAATCCAAATCTGCTGATTATCATGATGATATGAACTCATCGAACTTTATGAAATGGGTCAGAGAAAAATTAATACCAAATTTAAGTAAGCCCAGTGTAATTGTTATGGATAATGCCAGCTACCATATAAAACAAATCAATAAACCGCCTATAATGTCTAATACCAAAGCAGAGATCCGTAAATGGCTTGTAAATAATGGAATACATTTTGAGGAATATCAGACAAAGGCAGAGTTAATGTGTTTGGTTAATGATAAGAAAACATTGCCTGTATATGAAGCTGAAGAGATTTTAAAAGAACATAATCATGAACTTTTATTGCTGCCACCGTATCATTGTGACTTAAACCCAATAGAGATGGTTTGGAGTCAAGCAAAAAGAAAAATTGCAAGCAGAAACATTGGAATACCAGGAAAGGAAATGGAAAACTTAATAATAGAGTGTTTTAACTTAATTACCCCTAGTGACTGGAAGAAATACACTGATCATGTTTTAAATGTCGAAAATGATTACAAATTAAAAGATGGCATTGTTGAAAACGAACTTGAAAAATTTATTATATCTGTTGGTGCAGACAGTAGTGAAGAGAGTGACTCTGATGATTCCTTGTCATTGTTATCAGGTGTAGAATATTTAGAAACAGATTTTGACTATGAATCAGACTAAAGTATTTTTAGTCTGATTCATAGTCAAAATCTTATCTTAAATTTTCTATTGTGATTAACATGATGATTTTGTGACACCTGTATTATGTAATTTATCCATGGCACTTAATTGTAACAAAAATAAATGTTTTTTTTATTGTAATCTGGTGTTTATATTGACTAATTTAATTTGATAGATAGTGGTTCTGGATCAGAGCAAAAGGTTGTGATGAAAATCCCTTAGGAGACATGTATGTGTTATGAACACATTATAAATATAAGGGCCAGAAATCAAAATTGGCTAACATCACATTTATTAAAAAAATGTGGCCAGAGTCGCCCATATTCATTACAAAAAAACAAAGAAGTCGTTGCAAAAAACACCCTTTTAATTAATGACAAATATGAATTTTTAATATTATAAGTGCTGTTAGCCAATAGGTATAACGAATGGGTTAAAAAAAAGATTCGATTTAGTCCGTCAGTCAGATAATAGAAAAATATTGGATACGTATTTTTTTTCGCTTTAATTTAACAACAAATGGCTTAAGAGGTACTATGCGACGACTTCAAATATGCTTTGCAACAATGTTACTTTAATACAGTTTATCGATACGAAATCAAGTGTCAAAATGGAGTCCAGTGGAGAATGCCGATATTGACATTTCGAAATTGCTCATCATTGATAGAGAATACGAAATAGTGATTTTGACACAATCAAAGTGTCTATTTTTTACGGTGATGACGATTCTTGGTTGTCAGTTGAGTTAGTGAATAGGCCTACTGATATGCTGTTAACTGTACAATTAAGAACAGTCACGCTTTAGTCAAATGTTCCAAAACAAATAATTTTAATTGATATCTAAATGTTAAGATTAAATATAATTAATAAAAGTATCAAAATTATTTTGCAGTACTACATTCAGTGTTTACTGCTTAAGAATTTTTGAAATTGCCGCCCTTTTCTTGTGACACGTTTCGCTTGCCAGACTCTAGTACTGATGAAGTACTAATTAATTTTTTAGTAAAATTATATATTAAAAGCATTCTTGTTTTTTTAAAAAGCACTTTATTGTATTTTCGGATTCCTTTTACTTTTGCTATATCGTTATTTCTTGATATTTTCATGATTCCAGATCAGCAGAAAGGTTTTTGATTTCGTTGCGTATCAAAATACACAGTTTAAAGCATCCACCATATCTTTCGATTGCGTTGACTGGTGTTTGATTATTTCACAGCTGCACAACATTTTACAGACCCCGAGTATTTTTTATAAATATTCACATGGTCTTTGAGGTATAAAACCCTTAAAGTTTATATTCTGTAATTTTAAGCATTGAAATACAACTACAACTTGAATGTTACACACACATAAGGATAACTATAGTATGACCGTTTAAATGAGTCCTCGCCCGCGCGGTACAGGGGCGCGGGGTATGACGACAAAGGGGACCGAGAGAGGTGCGGGCGGCGGGCGCATTTTTGTTTTACCTCATTTCGATCGTTACGCGAGTAGCGAACACATGTGCTGATTTTTGCGGAGGCTTTGTGAGAGATATACATGAGATTACATTCTCTAGATGAATCGCAATATTTTCGGACATAAGGTTAATATTCAGTGCAAGCAAATGGCTTTTAAGGTTTACGAATACTTTAGAAAAAAAAATTGGACCCAAATTCTGTTGAATATCAACAAGACATACCTTTAAATGAAACCGTAGCAGAAGTTACTGGGCTATCGGAAAAGACTGTATCTAGAATTGTACAGCAAGGGAAATTATTGAAAGACAACGAAAGATTCACCTCACCGAGAAAACCGAAACAAGTTCGCAGAAAAAGAGTGGAAATAGACGATTTCACAAAAGGAGTGGTAAGAAGAAAAGTGACTCAGTTTTACACAATTGAAAAAAATATACCTACTCTGAAAACTTTGAATGCTGTACTTAGACAAGAGAATATATTACACTGCGGCAGGGAATATTTAAGGCTGTTATTACATGATCTTGATTTTAAATTTAAGAAGTGCGGTTCTAAAAGGAAACTTCTTATTGAACAGCCAAATATAACATCGTGGAGGTGGAAATACCTAAAGACTATTAAAAAATATCGTAGAGAAGGACGGCATATTTTATATCTTGACGAAACTTATGTAAATGCGTCTCATAACGTTTCAAAATGCTGGCAATCAAAGGATATCATGATTATATGAAATTCGTGAATTTCAGTAAATGGATAAATGAAAAGCTAATGCCTAATATACCACCAAATTCTATCATCGTTATGGATAACGCAGCTTACCATTCGGTTCGAGAAGAGAAAAAGCCGACTATGGCTTCTACCAAGGCAGTTATGCAAACATGGTTACGACGACAAGGCGTGGCTTTTGATTATGAGCTTAGAAAGGATGACTTATTTAAATTAATTAAAAATACAGAAACGGAAGATATTTATAAAATTGACGAGTTATTGAAGAGAAACGGACATGAAGTGTTGCGTTTGCCTCCATACCACCCACACCTGAACCCTATTGAGATGGTCTGGGGTGATATTAAGGGACAATTAGCACAAAAAAGTGTCGACTCAAATTTGGACCAAAAAAAATTACATTAGAGGGATTATTTGCTGAATATTCCATAGAGAAGTGGGAGCATTGTGTTAACCACGTAATTAAAATCGAGGACGAGTACTGTAAACATGACGGACTTCGGGATGATGCTGTTGATTTTATTATTAACACTCAGGACGACTCTGATGATTCTGATGACGGCAACTTTGAAAGTGAAGTATCAAGTTCCACTGATATTGATATGGACATAAGTGATTGATTTATAATTTTGATAATTCTTGTATTTAATAAATAGTACAAAAGTTTATTACTAAATATTTTATTTAGTTACCTACACAAGTTACATTTTCTTTCTTTTAAATTTTATGTAATCATCAATTGATTTTCAAATAAAAAAATCAGAATTTGTTCACCGTTATCCACTATGACGTCACATATCTTAGGATCTGTCTAGTGTGCATTTCATCTCATGCGCGCGCGCCTGCCGCCCGCCTCTCTCTCGGTCCCCTTTGTCGTCATACCCCGCGTCCCTGTACCGCGCGGGTGAGGACTCATTTAAACGGTCATACTATAGGATGGATGATAGGATGCTTGATAAATCATAATCCTTGGCACTCATGTCACTAGTCGACTAATCTTTCTCGCTAGTTTAGTAATAGTAACTAGCATGCATTCTAAAAATTCTAAATGTCGCATAACATTGCACTAGGGTCTATTACTCAACTACGTTTTCGATACAACGATCAATAGAAGCGCGCGATATAAAGAAATGTGAACAAACAATCAGGAGATCGTAACCTTTTCATAAGAATATTATTAGATTTACTACACGTAGTAATATGAAACGTTATTTGAGATAATTTTGGTCACAGTGCGTGTGCAGTGTTCCTAATGAATAGTTTTTATATTATAAATATTAGGTTTGATCTAAGCTGATTCGCTGTTCAACAATACTCACGTGTTGCTGGTGGGCTGCGTGCGTGTGTGTTCGTGTGTTAGTGTATGAGTGTATACTCAAGTGTTGTTGGTGGAGGGCGTGCGATTGTGTGTGTGTGTGTACTCACGTGTTGCTGGTGGGCGGCGTGTGTGTGTGTGTGTGTGTGTACTCACGTGTTGCTGGTGGGCGGCGTGTGTGTGTGTGTGTGTGTGTGTACTCACGTGTTGCTGGTGGGCGGCGTGTGTGTGTGTGTGTGTGTGTACTCACGTGTTGCTGGTGGGCGGCGTGTGTGGCGCGCAGTCGTTGTTGCCTGTTGCGCAGTTCCCGCTGTCTGGTCTTCAGCGCGCGCCTCCTGTGCGTCCACCCACGCTCTAACGCGCGCCAGTCGCCCGATAATCGTCTGCACGCCGCTGCGTATTCGCGTTCCATCGCTTCACGTTCCTGTATAACATTTATGCTGCAATTTTTGCCCGAAAAATACATCAACTCTGTGTTTATAAACATTTCAGCCCCCTAACTCTCGAACGCAATCGCGACCGATCGACATTGGAGTTGTGCCGCTCCGCACTCTTGTTTGGTTCACTAGCATACTCTGGCGGTAAAGTTATAGTTAGGGGGTGGGGAGGTGTGTTTCCATTATCAAATCGTTTTGCTGCTGTAAAAAAAATGTACTTAAAAATAATGCCCAAAAAAGTGTGTCGATATATTTCACGTTAATTGGATCTACCCCGATATAGATGTACAGATAGACATAATTGATTGCACATATGTCGAAGTATCTTAGTCAGCTATAAATGGCATCAGTATAGTGACTTGTGACACTTATAAAAGTAAAATAAAGAATGTTGATTATAATGTAATGTTTAAGTATATAATGTAATGAAATAAGAAATGTATGTATTTGTTGTTATGCCGTATGTAGTTTAATTTCAAAAACTTTAACTGGTACAAAGCCCGCCACAGCTCAGGTTTAGCCTAGTGAGGGAGCCAGAAAAATCTTGTAAATGTATATGTATGTAATCTTTTACAGCAGCTTTCTGTAATATGTTGATGGTATTTTCATTGAGATCTATTGATTTCAAGAGTCGTATAGTTTGATATGGTACTACTACCCCAGCGATCGATATGATTAAAGGTACTTTATAGACTTTATCTTGTTTCCAGATTCTTATAAATTCATCTTTTAGGTCTGCGTATTTACTTAATTTTTCTGATATCGATTTTTGGATGTTATGGGTGTTTGGTACTACGATGTCTATCCGATAAGTAGTTTTATTTGTGTTATCTTCATAGCCGGTTATAATACTCAATACGGGGCTAAACCAAGTAATGAGTATGCGATGTGTGACCTATTCTACTATGTAATGGTCTCTATTTAATGATACTATATCATCTTTTATTTACAAAAAAATCCTCTCAATGCGACATGTGTTAAGTATAGCGGCTTTTTGTAATTTTATGTATGAGTAGGCATTAATATTATCATTATCGTTATCATTATCATTATTATCATTACCTGGTCGAGCTGCCGCTGCGCCTGCAGCAGCAGCTCGCGCTCGGCGTGCCAGCGCCGCTGCCGCTCGTGCTGCTGCCGCAGGAACTCGGCGCGCTCGCGCTCCAGCTGCCCGCGCGCCGCCGCCGCCGCCGCCACCGCACGCTCCGGGCCCTCCGCGTCCCTGCGCCGCATATATGTACTTACTTACTGCGACCGCCACACAGGTGATCGCCTTGGCTCAGTTACAAGTCTATTTATTACCCGACTGCGCGACGCAAAGGAGGGTAATGTGTTTATCAGTCTACGTATGTATGTCTGCGGTGTTCTAGTACAGTGACATGCGTAGGCCGATTTTGATGATTCTTACGTCAATCGATTCGTCTTAAGCTTGCGAGTGTCACTAAAGACCCGCTAGTAATCAAAATTGGACCGTCAGCGACAACCAGTCGCCATATCTGTCATAATGCAAAGTAGAATTAGTACCGATGAACTATGTCAAGCGGGGTATCGCTGAAAAAGTATTTTAATATCATATTTAGGGTTCTTTTATCATGTTTTACTTGAAATAATAGTGTAGCCTGTATACCGCAGTTAAAGCGTGTTCAATAACTAAGAATTCAATCATTCTCGCTAATTTTCCTTAGTTACTGATTCAAGTTTTATTTAAAGTATAAACGATATACAAACAAAAAAAAAACAGTGAAAAAGCATGGAGAACAAATGTTTGTTAGGTAAATAAATAAAGCATATGTCAGCTTTGAGCCGAGTTAGGTCTTTAGAGGGACTTATCATCAGTAGTTTATGTAACACCGCAAGTTACTTGATAATCCCCCCGACTAAAACTCCCTCAATGCAATGACTAGATTGCGAAACTATATCTGACTACTGTATTGTACAAATCTATAATTGATATTAATTAAAACAGTGAAATATTATTCTAAACGATCAGGTTCACATTTGAAGGCATGATATTTAGACATACGTTAACGACACAATATTTTCGTGTCATTTTAATTCAGGTCGATCACTCTCCGTACATCTAGTAATCTTGCCCTCTGAAAATCCAAGTAAATCTCTAATGTATGTTCTTAGATGCGCTATTGTATTATTATGTGCTACACGTATGAGTAAACATGTATATATACTGACGTGAGGGCGGCGGGGAGGTTCTCGCTACTGTTATTGAGGTCAGTGGTGGACCAGGACAGCAGCGAGAGCCGCGATAGGTTCATGAGCGGGGCGCCGCCCTCCTGCCGCAGCTTGGCCGCCTCCGCCGGGTCGTTGTACCGGAACATGTTCGTGCGACCCAGCAGCAAGATGCACCCTGTACACAAACATTCCATCGCTAATTTTACATTCTCCTATCAAACTAAATTTTCTTAAACTTACATTATGTAACAAATAACTTTCCATGGGCAAGAATATTATAACATTTTGTCAACGTTAATGTAGACAAGTGTAGAATTCAATGTGAAGTGTACATGAAGATTGTTTCACGAAATGTATTCTGGTCTTAAGTAAACATTTACCCTGGCTGAGTTTGGCGGGGCTGTCTATGAGCACGGTGTTGAGCCAGCACTGCGCGCCGGGGCAGGGCCGCAGCGTGGCCTCGCCCTGGCGCAGCGTCACCACCGCGTGCAGCGGCAGCACGCCCGCGCCGCTCAGCACTATGTCCGGCACCGGACGGTACTCCTCGCTACCGATCACCGTCTCGCCCTCCTGACCACGCATCGTGAACACAACGATTACTATCGAATCGTGTCGCAAAAAATCTAACAAATTCGTATATGTTGAACGTAGAAAGAAAACCAAACTTTAAAGATGTTGACAAAAATATTTTATTCTGTCTCAATCAACACCATAGTGTGGTCTTGAAATCACCGAATTTTGTTAAGCACATGTAGCGAAAAATTGTATAATTTAAAACTTCTGGCGAATTTTGAAAAAAAATGCGAGTACCAATTCGTAATTAGAAACTGATGTCGCATGTAGATAGTTTTTAAATTATTTATCAATCACAACTTTTTTCTAAAATCTATAATATGCGTTATGATATTTAACAAAAACCAGAGAACTCAGCATAGGTTGAATTCCGTATATAAAGCAGAGGTCCAAGAATAAAACCTTGTGGCACACTTATGCAGACTTTTGCTGCAGCAACATAATAGCAGTTGATATTTTGGTGAAACATAACAAGTAACAACAAAACTTATCAAATAATAATCTAAAACATAAAAATTGTCAGTGTAGACGTGTTTTTGTTAACGGTACTCTCTATTCCTTGAATGAATTTTTGACGTTGCGTATAAGCGAATCTACTTTTATGACATGATGTAATTAGATACTGTAAGATTTTTTTTTTCTCTTGAGATTAAGATTTAATTGAACTATGAATTGTGAACTGACATACCTTGTATAACAATATTGTTATAAATGGCTAATAAATAAATTGAAATTGATCTTTGAACGTCACCAAAATGGCGGCCAGGCGTATTAGCAATTTAGAGGGGATTATAAGTGTCGAACACTCGAGAGAAATGCAACAAAACTAAAAAAGTTATTAAACCAGTTTTAGTTTTTAATCAGAGGCAGCGGGAACCATGATATTATAAATAAAATATAATCCTGCCTTAATGCAATCCTCTCAAAATTTTGGATAAGAAGAAAGTGATGGTTGTACGATAGCAGTTTTATAATTTGTAAATTTAGAATATATATGCAGTAAAAATATAATAATTTTAATATTGTGTATATTTTTCTCTCTTTTTAAACATTAACAAAAGAAAGGTGTTTAAACTTGGTGACCAATTTAAGTACAATCGTTGAAAATATACGTGGTTTATATATTTAGATACAAAAATGTTAAAAATATCCACTATTTCTTCTGAGACCATATCCTCACTCTGAAATCGATGCTCTCACGATTCTCTGTGTGTCACTCATTACCAAAAAAATTACTCCAACTCGAGAGCATAAATCTTTCACAACAAATCATAAAAGTAACATATATATCTGACCTTGAGATGGTAGAGCGTGACGCCGGTGGACAGCAGGTTGTCGTCGATGCCGACCAGATGCGGCATGTCCGAGTCCAGCACGACCCCGAGCCCACTCTTGCGCAGCCCGAGCGCCTTCTGCTCCTGCAGTATCTGCTGCGTCTCGCGCCACTTCTCCGTCCACTTCTCCGTCAGCACCTTCTCCTGTGCTTCCTTCCTCTGCAGCGTCGCTAACACAGCCGGCTCTGTTTCTATAGGGTCCTGTATGGGGAATTGTACCGTTAAATTTAAAGGGTGATATAAAACCTGATTTAATTGATAGTGATAACACTCATTACCAAGCGAAAATTACAATGATAAACAGTATTATTGTACAATAAAACAATAATAGGTAAAAGTTCTCCTAAAAATGTTTTACAAGGTAAACTTAAACAATACAGTGACATACTTCCAGATACAGTGACAAAAAGTCAGGTGTTTTCGTTCCATGTCCCGCCAAATTAAACAATATCGGGCTTTCCGGGTTTTTTTAGCATTAACTTCATTTTCATTAGATATTGTCATGAATCAAATAAATAGCAAAAATTGTTCAACCTATCTCAACAAAACACTGCCATAATTTCATCATTCTAGTAGCTATGCCCTCTAAAAAAATATTTGTTTACTATAAAAAAAAGAAAAACTAAATGTGACCGTGTTGTGTGATATCTGCGCGCGCAGCTTCTCGATCTCCTCGCGCAGCTCGCGGATGAGCTTGACGTTGGGGTCCTCGTTGATGGTGGGCTTGTTGATGATGTTCTTGGCGCGGTTGGCGTACCGCAGCGTCGACAACGTCTCGCCGTAGTTGCAGTCCGCCGGCGATATCTGAACAGTGTACCACAACTTATATAAGATACAACTAACTTTTTTAGCCTGCGACTACGTAAGCGTGGTATAGTTACTTTAGGTAGCATGTTAAATCCCTGAATATAAAGTTTCATGATTTTATGTCAGACAATGGTGAAATTTATACAATCTTTTATTTTTTCGCTGCGATATTTAGCAGTATATTTATTTACTGCTGATTCGATTTCGATAAAATTTAAATGGGACCACCTCGGCCCTTTATCCTATCGAATATAAAAGGATTTACAACGAGTAAAGCGAGGGTCTCCCGATACCGCTATTTTGTATAAAAAAGTTTATAGTAAATTTTTTTTTAATTACATACAAACAGTATCCAGGCAGTGTGTAGAAATATAGTGATTTAAAACAAAATGTAGGTATACTGCTCTGTGGTGAAAATAAATAAGATAACTCACGGCGGCGATCATGATAGTCTTGGAGTTGCCACCGAGGGAGTCCTTCAGTAACCACGTGAGCACCGAGTCTCTGTATGGTATGAATACAGTCTTCTTGTTGTTTTTCGGACCGTTTTCTGTAAGCAAACAGTATGTATTAGCATGCCTTAATATTTTGGTTTTGAACAATTTCAATTATATTTCCATTCTCCGTATAGTTCACGTTTGGATAATTACCAATACGATGTAGTATAAAAGTGTTTGAATATCTCGACTTTCTCGATAAGAGAATGTTGACGTGAGCGCCCTCCACCAGTGAGGACAGTTGTTGTATATTAGTGTACATGTATAGAGAAGGACGTTTAAACGAAAAGCACTTAATAAAGCATGCTTTTCTAAATAAGCGTACAAAGAAAAGTATGCTACTGCTTATTATATGTCCCGCCATCTATCAAGTTATGATGTTACTACTAGCGTCAATTATTTTTTCTATGTCGGCATTTTTCTATTGAGGGCAGCACTTTACATAAATGCTCTGTATTATACTATTACGCGTAATATCCATCTAAACTTTTTTGGTTGGTTTATCCAAACGCTTTTTTAAACGGAACTTAAAAAACCAGTACGGTTTTCGTTGTCGGAATAGGCGCACGTTGTTTTGAAAGCTAATTCATTGCGTAAATTGAAAGTTAAATTTTATTATATTTATTATAAGTCTGTGATTAAGTACGAAGGAAAATTCATTGATAGAAATAAAGTACAAAACAAAAAGACGTTATCAACAATTTGTTTACTTACAACAATTTCGTTTTATTTGTATTTGTAGCTCGTTAGCTTTGAAAAAATATTTATTGTTTTAATTTTATTTATTTTAGTCAAAGCAAGTTAGTTTCGTAAATAACTACAACACAACGTTGCACGCTTATTATAACGATTTTAAACGTTAGCTGAAAAAAAAAAGCGTTTAAACAATAAGCTGTTTTTAAAAGCGCTTAGGGGTCATCCATAAATTACGTCACACTTTAGGAGGGGGGGGGGCGAGGAACTGTCACATTAGAACAATATTTAGTAGAATTTATATAGATAAATAGGTGACAGGAGTGGGTGGGGGGGGGGGTAAAAAAATAAAAATAGTACAACATAACAACAACGCTTAAAAATTTTCAGCCGGTATTTCCACCTCTATACATGTATGTATGTATGTATGTATACTGACTGTCAGGTGGATGTTGGCCGGAGTCGGCTAGCGCGGATATCACGGAGCCGAGTGTGACGAGGGACTTGTTGATGTGAGCGCCCTCCACCAGTCGCTGGCCAGTCGCGCCGGTGGCGTCCGCGCGCTCACTGGACAATAAATATATAAAAATATAAATGAAATTGTCTTTCGTTGAATTTTAAGTTGTGTATTTTTTTTTCGCGAGAATATGGATGATGACTGGTTAATAAGAATTATCCGTCAATCAGATAATAGAAAAATATTCTATACGTATTTTTTTTATTGTATGCGTAAATGGATTAAGATAATAGGCATTAAAGTTGAGGAGTGGGGGCTCGCCATGTCACAGCTTTGTAGAAAATGTACAAAAGCGTGACGTCATACTAGAGTTCAACTCAATGTATCACCGTTATTTTATTGATTACACAAATAAAAAATACGTCTTCTATATTCCTAAATAATATGTAAATAATTTTAAGAATATAATAAATAGGTACACTTATTTACCCAATTAATTATTTAAAAAATTCTAAGACACTATCAATGTCATCATCTTCACATACACGAACACACAAACAAAAATTCTACATCAACTCTATTTATGTAGCTTAAAAATATGCTATTACTATAACTTTATGTTAAACTTAGTAAGTATTGTGCGATATATCTGACCTGCCGGCGAGATCGACCAGATGCACCTTGGAGGCGGTCTCGCTGGGCATGTTGTTGTGCCGCAGGTAGCTCGCCTGCACGAACGTGATGGTGAATATGGCGTGCGAGCGAGACGACACGTCGTTCATCTGCGTCGACGCAGTCGTGCGGTGCAAGTTGCCGCGGTGCATGCATTCCTATACACACTATACTATGTAGACTAACTCTTACTATACAATAGACAACTAACTTAGCAAGAATTATTATTGTCTTTTTAATTAGAACAGGTTTTATTTAGTAATTTAAGTTGCATAATTTTAAATTATTCACGTCTCAATCTGTATTTTAAAGTCACTTAAACAGGTTTTCGTCCCCGATTTTAGATTTTTTTAATGATCAGTCGATATTAAGATAAAAACTAAGACTGTGAAAAGTAAAAAACTTAAGTTATCAAGAATAATCAGTTGAGATTTTGTACTTTTCTCAAATCTGAAACCGGCCCTTAGTCAATAATAATTCGTAATTTTAACAAATAATAGGTAGAGAAGCAAAGCTTAAAGGTTTTTATGATTTGACCCTTTGACACTAATTATACATGTTAATACATTTTTCGGCCAAAACAGCAACAATTTTGAAGGTCAAAATAGCAATCTGTATCATATAAATGACAGAACTCGTTAAATATTGACCTGGATGTCATCGTAGTCGGAGACGAGGTGCTTGGAGAGGTCCTGCACGTAGGGGCCGAGCTTGGGGTGTTCCCTCACGCGCAGCGAGTGGCCCGCGTCGGTGGCGAGCAGGTCCTTCACGCGCTCGTTGTATATCTCCAGGTAGCTCACCTCCGTGCGGTACGACGCGCCGGACTCCTTGCCGGCCGCCACGCGCGAGAACAGTTGACGACATATGCGAGGGATCAGACCCTGGTTGTCCTGGACATTTGTACGATCCAATGTCAAGCGTTGGGATAGATATAAAGATCATTCCTAAGTTAACTTTTCAATTACATACTCAAAAAAAATAACCAAGCAATGAGTCTATTGTCATGATAGAAAATTTTGCATATATTAAACTGCACAGATTTTGCTATAGTATGAAAATTCTGCAATTAAAGTAGTTTAAGATCTATACTTTTAACCGACTCATATAAATACAAAGTAGTTAAGATACAAAGCATTTTTTATATATGAAGTTCTTTAATGAGTTTATTAAATTTTTTGAGCTAAAACTAGCAGAACATGTTTCGATTGCAGCTCTGCGATCAACCAAAATCAATGGGAACACAGAACCGGTATTTAAATGTATTTTCATTAAATAATAATGTGTTCTGACCGGCGCGCCCATCATGGTGAACGTCTTCCCGCTGCCGGTCTGTCCGTACGCGAACACGCACGCATTGTACCCCTCGAATGCGCTGTCGATCACGTCCAGTCCCAGATCAGAGAACACCTGGTGATAACAATACGAGAAACATTCAAACAAACTTACTTGATAACCTATGTGGCTCATTAACTAATATTTTTAAAAAGACGACCTCTATAGCCTAGCGAGTCGCACGCTGGCTTAAACATGTCGCCATTTCTGAGGCCCCGTTTTTTTATTCCCAATCAGGTAATGTGCAGAATGAACTTTTCTATATTGTTTCGAGATTCGACTCCATAATACGACTCCATCTTGGAATGTGAGTATGTGATGTCTAATATTTATTTTATTTATTTAAACAAACAACTTTACTACGTTGATTAAGAATCTAAGCAATGTAAAATGTTGTCTAATACATAATGATAACCTGCCCGTGTTGTGTGTTGTGCACGAATCCAAATCAACAGCTGGCATATTATTTTCGACATATTCGAAAATTTAAGTTAACCATGCCCTTAATGAAAAATACTTAAAAAATCCATTTGGTCCCTGAAAGCCTGAGATGGCCAAGTGGATTTTTGAAACATTTTTAATTAAGAATATTTTTCAGTATAGCATTGTGAATGCGAAAATGACCAAATAGTATAATAATTAAAGTTAACCATTTTACATAAATTATAACAATCATTTACTTGCATAAAACATTGTATAAAATGTTGGTTTTATTAAATTCACATATCTAATCTTAATTACCTTATTATACACTGAAAGCTGTCTTATAAATTACTCTCTCTATCGGTGAAAGCCGCGTGAAAATATTTTCAGTGAATTTTGGACAAACGTAAGCGGCGGAGCGATCCCACATATCGTGACAGTAATAGGGATGACGACTAATTTTTGTTTGTTTGTCCGTCAGGTAGAGTGTAAAAAAATATTAAACACGTATTTTTTTATTTTTTTTGTAATCATAAAATTACGGCGTTGCATGGAGTTGAAATTTCGCCTGACGTCACGTTATGGTACGTTTTCTACTAAACTGTGACGTAGCTAGCCCCCACTCCTCAACTTTAATGCCTTTTATCTAAGCTATTTCTTTGTTAAATTGAAGTAAAAAAAAATACGTATCTAATATTTTTCCATTATCTCACTGACGGACTAAATGGAATTGCGTTTTTTTTACTCAGTCGTCATCCCTATTATAATCAGCCTATTATGTTCCCTCCCACTACTCTCCAGTAGTCACAGGCCTCGCTTATGGAAGGATTCAAATCTAGAAAACGGGTCAGAATCCACCATATGGGCCCAGAGCGGATTAATGGGTGTTAACATTCTAATATTTTGGTAACCCATCCTAAGTGTGCTAGTAACACTTGTGAAAGTTGCTTAATTTCAACAATACAGAACCAACGCGCTAACCACTGCCCCATCGAGCTCCAATATCCGATATGTAATGTTTCTTTAAATTGTCGATTGTGATTTTTCTGTCTATAGAAAACTTTATATTATATTTGATTACTTTATTCAGAGCTTAAAATGTCTAATACTGTCAATGTTGTGAACTCTATTGTATGTGTAGTTTATGTGAGTGATTAGTTTTCACTTTATGTCGTGGGGGACAAAAGTTTATGTCATTTTGTAGATTAATACAATAATGATAGTAGAACCTTCGATCAATTTCATTGTTAAATCTTTGACGTAGACTTATGTTACAAAAGAGTCGGCCCTCGACTGCAAATGAAGAGATATAAGTATAAATACAGTTATCAAAATCCACAAATTTATTAAAGCACTTAAGTATAACTTAGCGTACAGTAATTTGGTGCTGGTCATGTATACCCTTAGTAGCTTTGAATATCCTCATTTTCTTTTTAATTTAAGTTTTAAGAAAAAAATCTTTAACTGACGATTGCCTATAGTAGCTAGGTAATAAATATTATGGAGATCTACTGATTCAATTTATTCTATATCCTAAACTCTTAATGTGTTTTCAATGGTCAGCCGTGCCATGACCTCGCTCTTTGTCGAGTTCAACGATGAGCGCGAACAGATTAGGTAACGCATTTTTAGCAAAACGCATGAATAGTCTCTTTATTGCTGAGTTCACAGTCGTATTGTGAAGTGAACCGGCGACCTTGGGACCATTACGTTGCGGTATAGGTACACTTCAGGCCAACTGAATAATCTATACTGCCTACGTAATGCGGCAACTACAACGGCATGTGTCCATAAATGACAGATGTTACTAATATTACATGTCATTGTATCCTACACGCAATTAATATTAACGCAATTGATATAAGATTTTTTTTTTTTACTTTATGGATATACTTATAGAAATTTGTTTTAAATATCTTGCAAGATGGAGATAGATGAGAATTGAAAACTGGTACTAAAACTCTTAAGAGCTTACCGCATGATTGTGCTAGTTACTTTATTATAATAGAACCCTTATCATATGATAAATAACTAAGTATGTATTTTATAAGAGTTAATAGAGAGTTCTAGAGAACTCATGTTTGCAAACGCTATCTAACCAAATAAAAAATTCACTAGACGTATAATTATTACCATCTCTAATGACAATTGGCTGGAATTCTTTTTTTTATAAGAAATGCGGTAACGAGTTACCGCCAGGTTGCGCACGCGCCGCGCGCCGTGCTCCAACGTGAAGTTAAATTTAAACTGTTGACTAAACGGGCCGTGGACAATGTAATAATAACAGTAAAAACCTCTTTTATCATCCATCACTGTGAGGCTTTCACGCTTCGAGTGACGATGTCACGACAGATTTACCTGCATGAGGTTAATTAATAATTTCTATTTTTAAGGAAATCATTATTTTGTATATTAGCATTGCGAAGCAGTGACTAATACCAGGAATTAAAGAGGTAGATACGTTTACCTGATCGCGCAATATTAACTACAAGTTTATTACGACGAAAGAGATAGGTCGTAGCTGATGTAAAAGAATTTACTAAATTCATACAAGATCTAGAATTGTCACAATAAAGAATTAAATACAACAATCATTAATAAATAAAACTAAACGTATATTGCGTACGAGTACGATTGAGATTGCAGTCAATTCCATAAATACCTACCAAGATGCCTACCTCATTTTAACTCATTTCGAATTCTTTATTTTTAAGACTGAGTTAGCAACAAAACGGTTTAAAATAAATAGCAAAACCAGTGTGAAGAAACAAGCGTGATTTAAGTCTAGCGCTCGCATATGACGACAAACGTTAATACAGAGTCTTAAGTTTTCGAGAAAACATTTACAAATATTTTATTTTAACGAGTGTGAAATTAGTTGGACACAGCGTTTTTTTAATGGCAATAAATTTTATTTTAATGTAAACGTAAAAACCACACGAAACATGATTGCCCGTCTCGTTGAATTTCATTGCTAGTGTCAATGAACTTCACGAACCCATTGGCGTAATGATCCCTCGGAAAAACGCTAAATGACCCCGAGTTTGATTTCTAATTAAGAAACACTCCAACTGCCTGTGATATGTATAGATTGGCTGATTTATTCGTTTGTATTAATCAAGATCTATGAAGCTTATACACGACTTTAATATCTCCGCTATAAGCAGTAATTAATTTAGGTATGGATCGATATATTACGCTCAAACACCGAAACCGCTTACTGAGCGACTAACTAGCTCACAACGCGTTATGGTCATAGTGAAAGAGCCACAACGCGGAATTCGTGTTATAGATCTAACAAAAACGCTCATAACGCGTTGTGGCTATCACAGAAAGACCATACAGCGAAATTCGCGTTGTGACTGACATGCTACACAACCTCAAGGCATTGTGGCGAAAAAAATATATGTTTTTTATCTGAAAGATTAAGTTTTGTATGTGTTCTCTATGAGAATTATTATTACATTACTTCCAACCTTCATATGATAAAGTGAAGTACCTAGTGATAATAATCTTACCTGCTCCTGTGATGCATAGTGCTTGTCCTCCGCATCATACGACCAGTATGAGTGGTCGAATGTGAAGTCTTTGTACTTCTCACGGTCATTTTGCTCTTTGCTATTCTGTATATAAAAATCAATTTCAATCAACAAGAACTACACCAAATACTATTTGTGAAACAGAAAATATTTTATTATTTATGTATCATGTACTTTGTCATAAACCATGTAATGTAAGCAGGTGAAAAACAATAAAAAATGTGCGACTTAATTTATAAACGATCCTTTTTGGTGCCAAGTGGTTTGTTTAAACATTATTTCACAAGGCATCAAAAAAATATAGTATACATCATTATGGAATAAAACAGTGCACATACTTACTTTCACAGTTAGTAATCTTGTTTTCTTTCCATCCATTTGAACAATTAACTTTGCACCCATATCCTTTTCTCTGTAACAATTGAAATTTAATCAAACATCTTAAAACTCATTTAATTTTTTATTTTGATCACCAGTGGAAATTACTACAAATCTTGCATGTAAATTCTTACCAGTGTCTTATCGCAATTTAATTGTCTTGTTGCTAAGTATATTTTTTTTGACAAAAAATATTTTATTTTATGTAAAACATCTTGTACCTGTTGATTCAACAATATCCATAGGGAGTAAAGCTTACATATAAACAAATTATTCATACTCATGTTTAGGGGATGGTGTGTTTATGAAATCAATGATAATTATTAATTTATTATTATTTACTTTTTAATAAAACTGATCTTAAATTTATATTATTCAATGAATGTGCGACTTAATTTATAAACAAAACAGTACAAAAAATAAGTGTTGAAATTTGTAAGTGTTGAAAAAAAGTATCAATTTTATGAATATTTTACATTATATTTTTCAGTTTTTCCAAAAATAAAGGTTTTTAATTTATCATCTTTCTCATCAGATAAGATATTTTATCGTATGTGATAAGACAGACTCTCACATGCTACTGATAATAGACAATAATAAATAAATTAGTAATACCTACATAATAAATAAATTGCTATCATAATTGAATTCTCAAAAATTTGGGTTGGCAACAGTTTATAAGTAATTATTATAAATAATTGGTTTTTATAACTGATGAACCGATCATAGCCATCCTTGAGTTTCAGTATATACTAAATCAAAAGTGATGCTCTAATAGTTCTTATAAGATAATGAATTCCTTATCTAAAAAACATTGACACCTTTACAATACTAAAGACACAAAATATAATTTACAAATATTACAACTTTTAAAAGGTCAAACTTAAGGCTTACAAAAATATAAATCCATTGTCTTTAGCAGTGATGCCTAAAGATTAACCATAGAATCTGGATGATTATTTTAGTAACTCATATTGAGATACCATCACATATATGTACATAGAATTATAAACCACAATAATGAACTACTAAGCAATTATCAGTGTTTGTTCTGATATAAAATACAATCTCTTCAATTTGTAATTGTGTGATATGGGGTTTCATAAAATAAAAGGTATTCAATGGTTGTTCTGTACTGTAAAAGTTATTAAACCCCTGATTTAAGGAATCTCAGGTAATGTTATACATTCTATAAATGTTAGTAAACAAACAACAATTCACTCCATAATTACATCCAACAGAGCTGCCGCTCTGGTGTTCATTTAGGTCAATCTCTATATACATTTTTGGCAACTTTCATCTAAATCACCCGCTCGAGGTACAGTTTGTGCTCTAAATGCAACTGAACCGTGAAAGTCATTGCCATTCATCATGACATCACTGTTTTTTTGCACTTTCCAAACACCCATTCCAAAACCACTTTAAATGTTTCTCCAAAAGATGATTCTTTTCAATTATAATTATCAAAGTGAATATTTAACTAAAAACGATGGTAAACAATGAAAGAGGCCTAATTATAGCCAACATCCTGTAGCAAATGCTTAACACGATCCTATCAATATTTTAACAATAAAGAATCAGAACCACTTGAAAATACAAACCTTTGATTGAACGGGCGAACCCTTACAGCAACTTTTACGGAGGCCATCGTCGAACATTATATGGTCAATTCAATATAAAAATATTTTAAAATACATTTAAACGACACAAACACGACACTACAAAGCAATCCATTGACATTTTGACTTCATTGACAAACTTTGACAGACACATTGAACAACACAGACCACAGGCAGGCCTTAAAAATATAATAGTGAAACCTTAAATGGCATCAATTGAAACATCGATATATGCGATTTCAATATTAAAGTTGATAATGTACCATATCCTAATCTTAGATAATCAGTAATAATAATTCTTCTATTACGTAGGTAAGAATCAAAGGCTTTGGCACCGGGGCGGGGGGGGGGGGGGATCGCATAATCGTGGAGGTCATAAGCTAATTTAGATAATAATACAGTCTTATATAAATTAGAGTTGTTCAAAACAACTAAAATATATTAACACGCTGAGGCTAAATGCTAAGAAAAATAAGCGAGTTAATTAATGCGTTAATTTATTAATAAATGAATAATAATTTTATTTGCATAATTCACACAGACACACATGCCAAACATACAGACACAAAAGCTCAGCAGCATATGTCTACTTGTAGAGCAAACTACTGATTTACTGATCTTGAAAATTGGATTAGCGTGGACGCAACGTGGAGTTAAGTTAAACTATTTCAAATAAATTCCACGAAATAATGAAACTTGGAATATAATGTGAATTGGATTAAGTAATGATCAGTGGTCGGAATTAGGTAGAGTTATTCATGTTCTTACACTGATTTCATACAGCGAAAGAATAAAGTAGATATGCCTGAAATCCCGAGATTAATTTTAAAAAGCAGAAAAATTCCCGTGATTATTTAAATAAAAAGTTATTTACTTTTACACAATTTAAACTACTGCACGCACGACGTTGCCAAACTTACATCAATGAAAGAAAGAAATAAAGAAAAAAGAATTAAAGAAATAAAGAAATCCCGGGAAGGTCCACATTAATATCAACATTTCGATGCAAGTACATAAATTACTCTACCTAATTCCGACCTCTGGTAATGATATATTAAAAATAAATTGCATTATAAATTATATAAAAATAAATTAAATCATATTTGCTTTGTATTAAAATTGATCATAAAGATAAAGCCCAGTGTCAAAATGTTTAAAATAAATAATTATAATAAATCATGACATGCACACACAAAACGAAAAACCAAAAACAAAATGAAGAAGAGCAAAGGCCAACCATCACCTCGACGACACCTTACCTAATAGCTCTCTGTTGGGAATCCAATAATAGATTCTTAAAATGCATCTTAAATGAATTCCGTTAAATGAATTAACTCGCTAAGTATATAATAAAAAGGGTGCACGACAAATGCATTAAATCAAGCAGTACACTAAATCTCGTAGCACGTTATTTATTACATGTCGATATTTGAACTGAGCACGAGCTATAGTAAGCAATAATTTAATAATATTTTATTTTAATAGATGTCAAATAAAAGTAAGTGAACTATGTACATTTATTATTTACACTTAATACAATTTTAAATCGCTTCACAAAAAAATTGTCCTTATATTTATTGACATTATCATCTTTATTATAAACACGTACTTATCATAGTTAATCATGTCAAAAATATATATATAAATTTATATTTTTTACAACTAAAACTTTAATTTTTTTTTATCTTACATAAATTTTTATTTTACTTAATCTAAACAATATAAAATATCAACTAACTAAACTATGTCAATAATACCCAATCATAGTTAACATGCTACTAGAATAAATCGTTAACGCGTCCATTAACATTCGCACCTTCGCGTTGATCCAAGATCGGCTTCGCGCGTGATGTTACTAAACGTACTGCGAGGATAAATCGCTTACGCGTCTTTTAGCGTTCGCGCCTATGCAAATACGGCCCACTCGGCCTCGAGCGCTAATGATCGTTGCGCGATAACACGCTAAATTTATCACGCCTTAACGTGTGCATACTTAACACCGTTAAGTGCTTTGTACGATTAGCGTGTTAAATTAACACGCTAAGAGCTAATTTACATGAAATTAATATAAGGGCCGGTTTCACCGGTTGCTGATAAAGTCCCTGATAGTCTATCAGGAACTTATCTGCCAGATAAACTACAACTTTTGGTTTCACAGGTCTCGGATAAAAATATCTGGCAGATAAAGTATTAGATATGTTATCAGCCGATTCAAGTGGCTGATAAAGACGTTATCTGATAGATAAAAAAAAGTTTCAATTGACGGGAACGAAAATAGTTTTAGTTTTAGACCATTATTGTGTGCTTTGCGTCGATTGAAGTCACAAGTGTCACAAATATTCTAAAATGGATTTATTTGAGTTTTTAGAAGACGAATTAGATGAATATTTCGAACGTATTACGCGACCCCGTAGGAATCGAGTAATTAACCCTAGACCTAATTATTGAGAATCACTTGACGATCAAGATTTTAGAAATCGATTTCGGCTTACCAAGCGGGCTGTTATTTATATTCTATCGTTAATAGAAAGTGATATAAAAACTACAACGGGCTATTTAGTAAAAAATCTCCGTTAACTAGTAAGTAAAGAAGCTCCGTTTGTTTCTTCTTGATTAAAATTCACACTTCTTTCACGTTTTTGTTTTTCCATTATTAATTAACAAATACGAAAATAATACACAAAGAAAAGTTTAAAAACTGAAAAGCGTCTTAAGCACAAAATATCAACAAAGCAAAACAAATGATAGTTGCGTTTCGTTTCTGTAAACACGTAGCTAAGTATACGAATATCGTATTATTTCATTCTAGAATCATAAAATTATAATTCAAAATATGTAAAGTATAAGTATAAAAAGTTTACTTAAATAATATTGAACACAAAAAATAATATTAATTAGGTTTTAAAAATGATTTTTGATTGACGATAATTTGGGTCGTAGTATTGAAACGCAAAAAAGCGACGTTGCCGTTCCGTCAACTAATAAGTGGCCGATAACTTATCTGCCAGATAAATTATCTAGCAGTTTGATAGTGAAACAGAAAAAAGTTAACAGCAACCTTTATCCAGTAGATAGCGTTAACTATCAGATAACTATCTGAAACTTTATCAGTAACCGGTGAAACTGGCCCTAAGACTTGTATCTATTGTTATTATTTGAAAATTTTTGAAAATATTTATAATAAATCTATTAAGCCAAAAAATTATAATAACATTATGTATAAAAATTTTAATTTTAATTGTTTCTTCGGAAATTCAAAATCAAGTTTCTTCAAAAATATTGACTCCTAAGAGATATTTTTAAAAATTAAAAATCTATATAGAATCCAATATCATAGCAGATTGATCTGATGTCAGCGATTTAAAAAAAATATATATAAATCAGATATAATTATTTTTGGAGAACAATAATGACGGATGTATCAAAGCGTAAGTTCAATTTCCGAAGAAACACCCAGTAGTCCACTTAGGTCCTGGACTCAGCCCAGGAGGGTCATGAACCTCTCCTGAATCTGCTCATAGTACGAATTATAACTAAAAAGTATATGATGGTGAAATTAAATAGGAAGAAGTTTTTTTACATATTTCATTAAAATTAATCTCTTTTCATGTTTATTTATTATGACAGTGGCCTTGATATATATATTTTTGAGTACTACTCGTATCAATTAAAATTACACCTGAAATTAATTTTATTTCTCCGAAAACGAAATTTCGTCTATTTTCGACATACTTATACGGCTCCAAAGAATAGCATTTTTCGATAATTTATGATGCAACGGAGATAAGATGTGATGATATCCCTGATGCACAAAAGGTCTTCACGGATTTGATTTTAACAAAATAAGAATGATTTGAAATTGATTTCTTACATTTTCATGCGCAATATCCATAAATGAATCAACTTTTAAAGAGTATCGCTATACTCTTAATTAAAAAGACAATCAACACCTTAGTCTTATGTGAATATGAATAAAATTAAATACTAACGCAAATAAATTATTATTATGAAACATTGTTTCTTTTATGATTTGATTTTTTTGAATTTTAGATGTCATTTTCAATCGTGTACGAATACAATACATTTATAGCAACGGGCATCGCTTCAGCCATTACTATATTAGTTTTAAAATTCTGACTTCCAGTAAATATTACGAAGGAACTATAAACATTGATTGATATTTGTAATTTTCGATTATTTTACACATCTGTAGTGGTCCGGTGCAAGAAGTTTATGTCCGGTGGGAAGTCTGTAGCAATAAATCTATTGCTGTTATTGGAGGTAAGTGAAGGAAGGAGCAGGGAGCCACAGAAGTCTATTATAGTTTCTTCAAGTTTCTTTTGTATGAAGATTACTTGCCACATATCTAGAGATGGGCAAAGTGTTTCCGAGCATATAGAGAAAAAACCCAGGGATTTCGAGAATAAATCTTATTTGTTCCATAAAAGCGGGGGTGCGCGCGTGTTGCATTGATTGTTTGCTTACTTTATTAGTAATGAGTTGGTATTTATATTATTATTTATAACATGAAAGAAAAGTAACATAATACAATAAAATCGGCCAAGTGCGAGTCAGACTCGCGCACTTAAGGTTTCGTATCAGAAACGAGTAAAAAAGAGAAGCAAAAAACACGTTTGTTGTATGGGAGCCCCATTAAATGTTTATATAATTCTAGATTTTAGTATTTGTTGTTGTAGTGGCAACAAAAATGAGCAAGTATTCAAAGAAACTACAAAAAATTGTGCCACTAGATGGCAGCACAAATTGTAGGATCTAAACGTCAATGAGGAAGTATTTAAAAAAAATAAAGAAACTACAAAATATTATGTTACTAGATGGCAGCACAAATTGTTGGATCTAAACGTCAATTCATGACGTTAAACCAAAGAGAATAGATTTGTTAGTGTTGTTATGGATCTGATAACTTGGATTAATATCGAGTTGAAATTTAACTAGTTCGAGTTATGCAATCGCAACTCGATTAATACAAAGTAATCTTTGAATAAATTTATTTTTTATTTGTATAGAGGAAAATGGAAACTAACATAATGGAAGTGAGCACAGAGGCTTTTTAAATTTATAAAAGTGGCATCTAACTACGGTATACAATAATATTACGTTT